CAGTGTTTACTTCAAACCACTAATGGCAACATTAATATGATAGAATAAGCACTTTACATACATACTAAAGATATGTAAACACAGGCTACTGTTTCACTGGAAAAATCATTTCATGAGTATCTACTGTTTGCAAGGCATTTCTTCCTTTAAATTGAAATCTTCCTCAAGACTACAAGATGGAAGAGGCCAGCTGCTTTCAAAATTATTAGCAGGTAAGAAAATGGACATTAATGAGTGTGCATTCCTGCATACAAATCTGAGAGTGGTTTGGAAAAAGGAAATATCAATATTTGCCTGTTCTAAGCTGTTAGGAGATGCCAGCTTACAACAGGCAAATTTCCAAAACTGTGGAATGCTCTCATATTCTCAAGTATACACAACGGTTTCTATGAGACATTTTAAATCATGTTTTCAATTTGTCAACAATATAACATCTATACAAGTGTACTCTAGATCTGTGATGTCTATATGGTAATAACTAACCATGGCTGTTTACATTTAAATTAAAAGATTTCCATCACTGCCCCAAGTTCTACTGGGCAGCACTGCTCTAAAGGACCAAATCACAAACAAGTAACTCCACACAGTTTCAGGAACCATATCTGAATTTATAATCGAGAGAGTGTCAAACAACAGAATACTTCTGTGCCAGGCTTATGTTAAGTACCTTATATGGATTGTCTTACTTGTTCTTTACCACAAACCCATGAAGTAGGTATTATTTGTATCACCATTTTACAGATGAGAAACCTGAGGGACAGAGAGACTAAGTAACTTGCCCAATGTGACAGAGCATAAGTGGCAGAGTCAGGATTTGCTCTAAAACCAAGGATTTTAAACATTCTTCTAGAAGGCTAATACAAAAAAGATATAAACTAACTTACAAATGCTGGGGTTAGTTTATTCACTTCAAAAGCTAACAGACGGTGCTACAAGAAGACAGATTTTGCAGTAGTTTAGAAAAAGTAAAGGTAGAAGAACTAAGACTGCGTGACAGGCAGCTAAACAGAAATGCTGAAGGTGAAAGAAATGTCACATTATGAAAGACAATTTCATTTTGGCAAAACATCATCTGTCACATTAAAATGAATGTTGATTAGAATTGTTGGGTGGGGAGGGATTGAGGGAAGACAAATTACCTATTGGGTACAATGAATATTATCTGGCAGATGGTTACACCAAAAGCCCCAGACTTCACCACTACCCAATATATCCATGTAACAAAACTACACCTGTACCCACTCAATCTATGTTTTTAATCCAAAAAAAAAAAAAAAAAAATTACGTCAGGGCCACATTGTTTTCAACAACAAAAAATATATATATATGTAAGAATTGTGTTGGCTTTGTTGTTTACCTCAAATTTGCAGATTTGTTTTGACTTCAGAGTCATAACAAAGTTGCAAGCAATGGACATTTCTAGTAATTATGTTTTTAAGAGAGCCTAAATTGGTATGTATACTTTTAAATGCCTATTATCTCACAACCAGTGTTACTAGCTTTGATATACAGAGATGGTGACTGCATTCATAAGGCTTCAAAATGGTGACTTGAGGAAGCTCACAGATTGTATTTCTCACTACTGGTGGCAACACACGAGATATTAACTAGCGTGAAACCTAAAATTTCATTATCAGCAAAAAGCTCTGAGTTATCAGAATGTACTGAGCCACTTTCCTGGACACTATCAGCAGAGGACCTATTCAAAAACCTCACACACACAACGACAACCTAAGAGGCTGGCTTACAGATAAATGACTCATCAAAAGGAAAAAAAAATAAGAGAAAAAAATTCCTCCAACTTCTTAGAAAAGGCCTTAAGAGAAGAACTAACCATTTCATCCTTTAGTTACTTTATAGTTGCTGGCTAATATAACTAGAAAAGATGAGAAATGCTATATTGCTATTAATTTTTTTAAAAGCTACATAGTCCAAAGAAACACTGTATTTATAAATTAAAACAGTTTATGAGGAAGACAGTACATTACAAATACATTTTTGTTCACTTTCTTTTTCAAAGCATCACAACATACAGGCATATCTTGGAGGCATTGTGGGTTCAGTAACAGACCACTGCAATGAAGCTAATATCACAATAAAGCAAGTCACACAAATTGTGTTCCTAGTGATTACAAAAGCTGTATGTTTACACGATACTGTAGTCTATTAAGTATGCAATAGCATTATGTCTAAACAAAAATCCCACCACACATATCTTAATTAAAAAATACTTTATTACTAAAAAATGTTAACAATCATCTGAAACTTCAGCATCAGAATTAGGAGTAGACACTGAAGGTCTAGGAGCCTAGAGGGTCTTAGCTTGATGCTGATGGCTACTGACTGATCAAGGTGGTGGCTGCTGAAGGTTGAGGTGGCTGTGGCAATTTCTTTTAAAATGTTTTTTAGAGATGAGTCTCTCTATTGCCCTAGTTGCCCAGGGCTGGTCTCAAAGTCCTGGCCTCAAGTGATCTTCCTGCCTCAGCCTCCCAAGTAGCTGGAATTAAAGGTGTGAACCACTTCACCCAGTCACATGACAATTTCTTAAGACAAGACAACAATGAAGTTGGCCCCATTGATTGACTTTCCCTTTCACAAGACTTCTCTGTAGCATGTGATGCTGTTTGAAAGGATTATATCCATAGCAGAGTTTCTTTCAAAACTGGAGTCAATCATCTCAAACCTTGCCACTGCTTTATCAACCAGGTTTACCCCTTGTTATAATTTTAACAATGTTCGCAGTGTCTTCAACAGGAGTAGATCCCATCTCAAGAAGCTACTTTCTTTGCTCATCCATAGAAGAAGGAACTCCTCATCTGCTCAAGTTTGAACATGAAATTGTAGGACTTCCGTCACATCTTCAGGCTCCACTTCTAATTCTAGTTCTCCTGCTATTTCCAATACATTCACTGTTACTTCACCCACTGAAGTCTTAAACCTCTCAAAGTCATCCATGAAGGTTGGAATCAACTTATTCCAAACTCCTGGTAATGTTATTTTGACCTCCTCCCAGGACTCACAAATGTTCTTAATGTCACCTAGAATGGTGAACCCTTTCCAGGTTTTCAATTTACTTTGCCCAGATCCATCAGAGGAATCAACCTATGGCAGCAATCACCTTACAAAATGTATTTCTTAAATAATAAGACTTGAAAGTCAAAATTACTCTTTGATCCAGGGGTTGCAGAATGAATGTTGTATTAGCGGGCACGGAAACAATATTAATCTCTTTGTACATCTCCATCAGAGCTCTTGTGTGACAGGTGAATTGTCAATGAGCAGTAATCTTTTGAAAGAATCGTTTTTTTTCTAAGCAATGGATTTTAAACATTCAGTAAGCCATGCTGTAAACAGATGTGCTGTCACCCAGGCTTTGTTATTCCATTTGTAGAATATAGGCAGAGTAGATTTAGCATAATTATTATGGGCCCTAGGATTTTGACAATGGGAAAGGGGCACTATCTTCAAACTTAGTCACCAGCTGCATTAGCCCCTAAGAAGAGAGTTACAGCCCACCCTTTGAAGATTTGAAGCCAGGCACCAACTTCCCTACAGCTATGAAAGTCAAAGATGGCATCTTCTTCCAAAAGAAGGATGTTTCATCTACATTGAAAATTACTGTTGTTTGACTGGGCGTGGTGGCTCATGCCTGTAATTCCAGCACTTTGGGAGGCTGAGGTAGGTGGATCACGAGGTCAGGAATTTGAGACCAGCCTGATCAATATGTGAAATTCTGTCTCTACTAAAAATACAAAACTTAGTCAGGCATGGTGGCGGATGCCTGTAGTCCCAGCTACTCGGGAGGCTAAGGCAGGAGAACGGCTTGAACCCAGGAGGCAGAGGCTCACTACAGTGAGCTGAGATCATGCCACTGCAATCCATCCTGGGCAACAGTGAAACTCCATCTAAAAAAAAAAAAAAAAGAAAAGAAAAAAAGAAAATCTGTTGTTTCGTGTAGCCAACATCATCAACGATCCTAGGAGATCACTGATCACTACCGCAGCTTCCACATCAGCACTTGCTGCTTCACCTTTCACTTTTACATTACAGAGATGGCCTCTTTCCTTAAACCTCATGAACCAGCATCCGCTAGCTTCAAACTTTTCTTCTGCAACTTTCTCACCTCTCTCAGCCTTCATAAAATTGAACACAGTTAGAGCCTTGCTCTGGATTAAGCTTTGACAGAGAGAGAGACATGTGATATAAGATGATGAGCAAGCAGACAGATGGTATTTAAAGGCAAAGTCAATCAGAACCCCCAAATCCCAGGAGACAATAATAAACATGAAACTGGGGCCCAAGTCCAGAATCCAGATTTACTGCGGAATCTACATAATTGGAAAAAAAGAGACCTCAAGAGTCTCGGGTGTGTGTGTTACTACCAAGTTAAAGGTCCTGGCCAGGCGCGGAGGCTCATGCCTGTAATCCCAGCCCTTTGGGAGGCCAAGGCAGGTGGATCACCTGAGGTCAGGAGTTCGAGACCAGCCTAGCCAACATGGTGAAACCCTGTCTCTGCTAAAAATACAAAAAACTAGCCAGGCATTGGGGTGGGCACCTGTAATCCCAGCTACTCCGGAGGCTGAGGCAGGAGAATAGCTTGAACTCAGGAGGCGGAGGTTGCAGGGAGCTCATCTGCTCAAGTTTGAACATGAAATTGTAGGACCCCATCTCACAAAAAAAAAAAAAAAAAAAAAGTTTTAAAAAAAAAAAAAAAAAAAAAGAGCTGTTAAAACAGCATAATACACAAGGGAAAAAAAAGGCCGGATGTGGTGGCTCACGCCTGTAATCTCAGCACTTTGGGAGACTGAGGCGGGTGGATCACCTGAGGGAGTTCGAGACCAGCCTGACCAACATGGAGAAACCCTGTCTCTACTAAAAATACAAAATTAGCTGGGCATGGTGCCACATGACTGTAATCTTCAGCTACTTGGGAGGCTGAGGCAGAAGAACTGCTTGAACCCAGGAGCAAAGGTTGCAGTGAGCTGAGATCGCACCATTGCACTCCAGCCTGGGCAACCAGAGCGAAACTCTGACTCAAAAAAAAAAGGTCCCAATCCAGGCAGCGAAGACCTTGGCCAAACCTTGGTAGAATCTCCAAGTTATCCTAGCCCAATTAGCCTAAGACCACCAAGGATAAACCTGTACTTCTACAAAGTCAGGTTTATAGACCCATTTCAATGAGGGAGACCACATACCAGAGAGAGTAATTTGTATAAGTTTAGTTTTTAAGTTTATTTTAATCCTTGAAGTAAAATATTCAAAATGACTCAAATTGGAAGCATGGTATTACATTAAAACTTCATCATTTTAAGATTAGTAAAGGAGAGGGGTACAGGCGCATTTTTTTCCTCCTGATCCAAATTACATAATCCCCCAATTTAATACTATAGTTTGCAGATTCTCATACTTTGATTTGGGCAGAACTGGTCCAAAACCCACAAAGAGCTGAGGACGAGAAAGCCTCTTCCTGGACTCTCACAAGGGGAAGGGAAATGAAGGAATCGAATTACTACCTGGAGTGCCTGTGCACCTTGCCGTGTCAGGGACACTGTGTGCGGTGTATACGGAAGTTGCACTCCAGTATGGAAGCGAAGCAACCAGACTTTTTTTCCATGGACAGGAAACTGGAGGCTTCAGAGACATCCTACATAAGCGAAGGCCAGAAAGCCCCACCCTGCACTTCTATAAAGGTTAATGAAAGGAAAGACGCAATCCCAGAGAACCTAGCCCACTGACTCCCTCCCCACACCTCCACCTGCTGGTGCCTGACAGCATGCTGGCCTCTCTTCCAGTAGGAACCGGCAGGCGGAGTAAGGAAGGCCGCTGCTGGCAGTAGCGGGGCGGGGCCTCAGAAGCAGCCAGCCCAGGGAGCTGGGACGGAGAGAGCCTGAGCCCGAGCAGCAGCTTCCGGAGTCGGAAGTTGCTGAGAAAGAAGACAGACTGAAGGAGCTTGCGACTTTTTCGCCTCGGCAACCGGACCCAGCAGCAAGCAGGACGGGTGGCGCTCTGCTACTGGTCCCGTTAAGCCTCAGCAGCCCAAGCCCTGAAGTCACTGCTCTAACAGAATGGAAATCCCGCCGACCAACTACCCAGCCTCCAGGGCAGCCTTGGTGGCACAGAACTACATCAACTACCAGCAGGGGACCCCCCACAGGGTGTTTGAGGTGCAGAAGGTCAAACAAGCCAGCATGGAGGTGAGTTTAGCAGGGGGTGGCGCGCAGCGGGGGCTTCAGGATTGCGCTCCCTCCACTGACCCGAGGTCTCAGCCTTTGTGTGCAGATACTCCGTGCCACCCCCTACCCACCTTCTGTTTTAGGGCACACTGCTGGTATCTGGTCTTGAGATATTAAGGTTTCTGGGGGAATGTCTATACTACAGTCTCTGCAGACAGCCCGGGACTGTTTTCATCTTAAGGCAGAGACAAAGTTTTTACACGCACAGTTACAGGAAAATGGGAAAACGCTCTAAGTAATGGGGCAGCACTTTCCTTAAGTGTAACCTGTAGGAACCTTTCGAAGGACTCTTAAGGCTGCCACGTTTCTCATCTGCTACTCTGATCTGGACCAACAAAAGCTCCCATCTTCCAAATGACTCTCTATTGCCTACATTTTAAGACAAATCCTTATTAGACCCTTTGACCAAAATGAAGGGGGAAACAAACAGCAAGAGAAACCGACAAAGTCAAAGAATAAAAGCACTGTGGGCTGACGCTGGCCTTTAGCCACCCAAACACCACTACCACATGACTGCCTTAAATGATGTGCGCCCTCTGCTAAAGGCTTGAGTTAAATGTTTAAGGCCTCAGCAATCACTAACGACGTTTGTTTTCATTTTACTAAAATCCACTGGATTTCAGATTATCCCTTATTTATCTGACAGAATTTTAACTGCTAACAGTCTTTAAGAGCTGACAGACCGTAGATCTTATTTTGAAACTGGACCAGATAACATAATTAGGTATACATTTTCAACCAGTATTTTGATTTAAAAGTGAAACTCATTTCTTAGTCTTATAAAATTTGTTAATCATTTTGCAGTTCCACTAATATACAAGTAAAAACAATACTTAATTGTATTAAGTCTCCAATTGCTTTGCAGTAATCTGCCTCAAAATGAAATTCACGTTCATTGAACATTATTTGGAGGGTACACTGAGCTTTATGAAAAATCTTTTCAAAGATGACACTATTTGTCATCTTTAGAATTAAACACTGTTTCAAAATTTATGTAGAGACTTTAAGATCACAGATCCAGAGGTTAAAGTCTTTTGATGATTGAAAGTGAGTTGTGCCCAATTTGTATGCTTTTATCCTACACTTTTGTTTTCATCCAAAATAAACCTGACAGGGGACTTGCTAGATTAGATGTTACATTCATGGTGACATGCCTTTTTCAAGATCTAAGGCTTTCACCATTCCCCTTCAGCCAGCCCCTCCAACCAAATGAGATGGATGCTTCTAACAATGCAAGTATAATGTTGTTATAATATTTTCTTGTCTCCATTACATTTGTTTAATTTTAGGATATTCCAGGAAGAGGACATAAGTATCGCCTTAAATTTGCTGTTGAAGAAATTATACAAAAAGTACGTCAATTTTTTTTTCTTTTTTCTTTGAGACAGGGTCTCTATCACCCAGGCTGAAGTGCAGTGGCGGAACATGGCTCACTGCAGCCTCAACTTCGTGGGCTCAGGCCATCCTCCTACCTCAGCCACCCCCAGTAGCTGGGACCACAGGTGCATGCCACCACACTTGGCTAATTTTTGTGATCCTCCTGCCTCTGCTTCCCAAAGTGCCAGGATTACAGGCATGAGCTACCATGCCCAGCCAAAATGTTCTTATTAAATCAAATTTAATTCTAAATATTCCAGATCATTTTTGCTGATCAAATCCATAACACTGATTAGTTTTACCTCTTTTTAAAAAGTTGTTGTGAAATCCCTGCCTCTAAAAATTACCATATGGGCAAAGTTTACAAGGATCAGTTCTTTACTATCGTTGGGTATTCCTAGGTATGTGAATTATTTCTACCAACCTACACAGAAAAAGACTATATACTTCAGTTCAAATGAATTTCCTTACTCTTAGGGCAATCAGCACTTATGCCTAATATAAATGAGTGAAGTAATTTACTCCCCAATCAATCACTTTCTTACGTCTGCTTTTCTCATTCTGTTTTTCATTGGGTTTTTAGAGAAATAATGTGTTCTTAGATATTCACAAGCAATAGAATGCCAGCTGACACCACCATTCATATAAAGATCCTCCAGTAATAAGGAAGGGAAATTTTAAAGATTATACACAACTGTCAAATTAGTAATGAGACAAACTTCAAAGAAAGGAATGGCAATCTGTACCACAGCCATCTTGAAATTTTAAAAAGCTTGCCTTTCTGTTGAGCATAATTCATAAGGAGATTCATTAAAAGGCATCTGAGCTGCTAGACAGCCATCTTTACAAAGCATAACCCAATGCTATAATCTTCTAATTTTATATCCAGACACAGACTGCTGCATCTGCATTTGAAAAAAATTATGTTATTTCAGGAGCAAGGAGTAAGAGTAATGGAAAAACTTTAAAAGTAACCAGAGTCTTGAGTTGGTATATAAAGTCAGACTAAAATCTGGCCTTGCAAGTGGACACCCCATTAATACTGAGATATATTCAGTTTTAAAACTAGACTTTACAAGATCATTTATAAGGTAAGTTACCTATTTTAGGGTACTCACATGATAAGTATAGAATATTAATAGGCCAGGCCCAGTTAGATACCTCTGAAAACATGCACTGTGAAGTCTAGTCTAAAACAACACCATTAGGGGCCTATGCTTTAAATCATATCTCAAAGATGATAATTAATAATGAATACCCTCCTGTATATAAGGATCTTTTGCTAAATTTCAAACAGCAAGTTAACGTGAACTGCACAGCTGAAGTACTTTACCCTTTAATGGGACAAGAAACTGCACCAGAAGTCAACTTCACCTTTGAAGGAGAAACTGGAAAGAATCCAGATGAAGAAGACAACACATTTTATCAAAGACTCAAGTCGATGAAGGAACCACTAGAAGCACAAAATATTCCAGGTATATACATAAATATGGCATGAAAATCATTTGTTTGTTTCAACTTTAAAATCAATCTCAATTATCTATGCTTAAAATTGTTAGTTGCTAAGTATGTTAGAAACATGCAGGCTTTTGCAAAAATACTCATCTCCAATCTAATCCAACAAAAAAGAGGCCTCAAATTTCATAGATCCATAGCTTAATTAAATTATTTTCTGCACACATTTGAAGGAAACTAAGACATGATTTAGAATTTACATTTTGTTTTAAAAGGTTAATACTACATATATAATTATCATATAAATGTTTCTCCTACCAGACAATTTTGGAAATGTGTCTCCAGAAATGACGCTCCTTCTACATTTAGCCTGGGTTGCCTGTGGTTATATAATATGGCAAAATTCTACCGAAGACACATGGTATAAAATGGTAAAAATTCAAACTGTCAAGCAAGTGGTAAGTAGTTTCTATAAAATATACTATTAATGGGGTTAATATTTATCAAAAGTATTGTAATTCATAATTCGATAAACAGTATCCCTATAGTCATTTTGTATTTAATAGCAAACCTGGGATTTCAAAGGGGAGGTCCCTTACAATCAAGATTAGAGAAGGTGAAGAATTGTAGGAAGAGTCCAAAGCAACAGTAACTGGTCTAAAAAGTTGTTTGATTTGGCTGAGAGATGCAAACCACAGGCCTCCTGTGCCTCAAACTTGCCTAATAACTGTGCTTGGTTAGTTGCATTCTCTGGGAACATACTGACTAGGAAGCATAACAATAGCAAGGCAAAGCCAAGGATTTCAATGAAACACTTTCTATTAATACACAGTATCTAGACTGCACTTTCAAAAAGCATCATGGTAATTGTAGCTCTTAATCTTTCAGGTTAGTCAAGTCAGATTTAACTATGATACTTTACTCAAACCCTCTTCTAGAACAAAAAGGTTTAGAAAGTTTTATTAGTAGCAGCAAGATAGAACCCCAGGTATACAATATACAGTCAGGTCTCTCTGTCCATGGGTTCTGCATCTATGGATACAAACAACTCAGAATCAAAAATATTTGGGGTAAAAAATGGATGGTAGCATCTGTACTGAACATGCACAGGTTTTTTGCTTGTCATGATTCCCTAATATAACAACTATTTACATAACATTTAGATTGTATTCGGTATTATAAGTAATCTAGAGATGATTTAAAGTATATGAAAAGGTATGCATAGGTTATATGGAAATACTACACTGTTTTATGTCAGAGACTTAAGCATCTGTGGATTTTGGTATCTGAGGGGAATCCTGGAACCAGTGCTCCATGGATACTAAGGGACAATTGTAATGACTCTCCTCACCTTTAATCTGCTCTATAAAGATCCTCAGGGCCACTTTTTATGGCAGTCACAAGCAAAGCTGTGCTTTCAGAAGAGGAAAGTCTTGAGTTATAATCCGACATTTAGCTTTTGTGCTCAGCTTAATACAGACTATTTCCCTTAGCAATCTAAGTTTTGTGTTCAACTTACTATAGTCATGCCATACTGAAACTTTTTTTTCCCCTCTACTGTACAGTACAGAAAAAAGCTTAATTACACAATCACATAACTATACTCACTACATTTTATTATTCTCAGGTGTTCTGGTTTCATTTGTTTGTTTGTTTGTTTGCCTGTTTTTGAGACAGGGTTTCACTCTGTTGCCCAGGCTGGAGTGTATTAGTGTGATCATGGCTCGCTGCAGTCTCAACTTCCCAGGTTCAGGCGGTCCTTCCGCCTCAGCCTCCCAAGTGGCTGGGAGTACAGGCGCACACAGCCATGCCTGGCTAATTTTTTGTTTCTTCTCATAGAGACGTGGTTTCACTGTGTTTCCCAGACTGTTCTTAAACTCCTAGGCTCAGGCAAGTTGCCTACCTCGGCCCCCCCGAAGTGCGGGATTACAGGTGTGAGTCACTGTGCCTGGCCTTATTTTTCAGTTTTCAAAAAGAAAATTTCTATTGTAAAATTGTATTATTTCAATGTAAACACCCATTGCTACAGTTTATCCCATAAATTATGCAGTTTATCCCATAAATAATAGAAACACGAAGGGTTCTTAAATAACAAGCTACACTTGGTAATTCTCTTAAGTAGCTACCACAACTTGGAAACTAAAAACAGGTAAACATTTTTGGGGGAACAAATATAAAATCATGATTTTTTTTTTTTTTTTTTTGAAACGGAGTCTCGCTGTGCTCCCAGGCTGGAGTGCAGTGGCGTGATCTCGGCTCACTGCAAGCTCCGCCTCCCGGGTTCACGCCATTCTCCCGCCTCAGCCTCCCAAGTAGTAAAATCATGATTTTAAAATGAATCTTGAAAGAACACTTTATTTAGTGTAAGAGAATAGATTTTCTGTCACATTAAACTGAAATTCTGACATTCAATTTTTATTTTTACCTAAATATAAATATTATATTCATCTACTAATCAAAGATGATTTTCAAAATTAAATGTAATTTTTTGCCAATGATATTAAGTTTTAAACAACAGGTTTTTATTTTTTGTCACAGCAAAGAAATGATGACTTTATTGAATTAGACTACACCATTCTACTTCATGATATAGGATCTCAGGTAAAGTATAATTTACCTTTATTTGATGTCATTCTGAAAACTGAGACTCCCTGTATTGCCAAAGTATGCTTTATTAATTTTGACTCTAAATCAGAATTCATGTAAATCCAGATAGGCACCATATTTCAGTATATTATAGCTGTAGCAATTTAACAAAAGTACTATTCTTTGCGAAGACTGTTTTATCTCTAACAAAATATAAACCCAACTACATTTTCCTAAATGTTTTCTGAATTTTATCATGGCATTAATTTTCTTCACTTGCAGGAGATTATTCCCTGGCAAATGCAAGTTCTCTGGCATCCACAATATGGCACTAAAGTAAAACACAACAGCCGTCTGCCAAAGGAAGTACAACTGGAATAAACAAAAACCCTAACACTGGAAGTGTAAACATGTCTATTAATGATGTATATGCCAATTTCACTGGCATCTAGCTTATGAGGTCAAATAATCCCAAAGTGTCACTTTATATAAATGTCTTGATTATGGTATAGAACTTTATAGATTCATAATACAAAGTATCCCTATATAAAAATGTCTTTATGACAGTAATAGTGGTATGTATATCCAAAATAAAAAGCTTCAATTTCAGCCTCATAATGTTTAATTACGTTGCATACTTACGGGACAGGGGCAGTAATGGTCTCTCGAAAGGCAACTTTTGGCTTTCCTGTGATACAAGGACAGCCATATTCTCTTTCCATCCTCTAAAAAGAGTGGGGAAAATATTATTCAAATTTTAAAAAATAAACTGAAAAAACTCCTGAGCATCTTATATATCTTAGTAGCATTCATTTAAATATAATAGATAAACAAATCTTAAATCATATTAGTATTTTATAAGGATTAGGTATGTGATACTTAATACAAACTGCTTTTACAGATTTTATATAAATGAATTCTAAGTTACATTGGTTAATTTATATTTACCTCCAATTAATCTACCCACTAAAACGTCACCATTGTTCCATATTATTATATATTCATTTGAATAATATATAAATCTGTTGTCAGGATTTTCTATCTCAACTTCAAAGATATGATCTCATCAAAATTTCTAATCACATACCTTTGTTTTTTACTTATATATCCATACATACAAGACCTTTCCTGGGAAGGTATAGGCCCCACCTTCCTTTTATCTATATTATAATGATCTTCAATTATTGACTTGAGAAGAAATGGCCTGAAGAGTCAGTACAACCGCAGGTTGTCTCCCTAAGGCTTGAACCAGGATTTACCTGACCCAGTTAACCATGACCTGGAGATGGACAGATATTCTTGTTGCAAATCCCCTGAGCCTTGATTCTAGGGGTCTAGAACATTTTACAAATAAAAAGATTTAGAGATCAAAAATAATTATTTTGTAACACATAGTAGCGGAAGCAGTAGACCACATCTGCATACAAACCAGAGTGAAGTTAGAGACATTAGATTGAGACATTAGATGAAAAACCAGTTAATTAGAGACATTAGATTGAGAATTATTGACTTTTAACAAAACAGATAGTAATAAATTGATTTTAACTTAACTTCCTTATTATTCATTACCTGAGCATAGATTTCCAGGTGTAATTCTCCCATTCCAGATACAATTGTCTCTTTGTTCTCAGTGTCAAAGTGTACTTTAAATGTGGGATCTTCTCTTGTAAACCTGCCAATACCTTTTGAAAACTTTTCCAGATCGTTCTTCAAAAGAAGAAGAAAATCACTATATGTTTTACTGCGCATGATAAGCAATGGGATTTTAGAGAAAACTTTACTGAATGAAATAAAATACATCAGCAGTTAAGAAATAAAAATGATACACATCTAGTTCTACTCCATTTTTAAAAACAATGTGAGCTTGGATACCGCACAGCCAAGAGAGCAGGGAATAGCTCACTGAAAATAATTTTCTTTCCATACCAAGATAGAAAACAAGAGTCCAAGACTTCACTCTATGCCCTTTCCTCTTACACTGACAAACTGTCCTTTTGTGAAAATTGCCCATAAAGCAGAAATTGGAATCTGTGCTACATTTTAGAAATCCTATACATAATCAAAGGAATCAGCATGTTTACCAAGACACTATTGTAGATCCAAGCAGGATAGTTAAGACCAACAAATAGGCAAATACCACAATGAGACTTGTCCCTTTCAAAACAGTCTGCTTGGATGTGGTATGATGCACCTTTTTTCTCGTTAGATGACATGTAATCCCATGTGGTAAGCAAAGTGATGGCCCTCCAAAGATACCCTAATCCTCCCAAATCTGTCAATATGCTGCCTTACATAGTAAAGGGGACTTTGCAAATGTAATTAAGGTTACAGACCTGGAGATGGGGAGATTGTTATCAATTATCTAGGTGGGTACAACATAATCATGTGTGCCTTTAAAACATGGAGGAAGCCAGAAGGGTGGATCAGAGGGATTCCATGAAGGAAGAAGTGGCAGGAGATATCTGAAGCATGAAAGGGACTTAACCAGCTGTTGCCGGCACTAAAGATGGAGGAAGCGGGCCACAAGCCAAGGAAGGTGGGTAGCCTCTAGAAGCTAGGAACAGCCCTCAGGTAACAATCATCAAAGAAATGGGGACCCCCATCCTACAACCACAAGGAATTGAATACTGCCAATAACCTGAGTAAGGAGAGAAATGATCCCATAGAGCCTTCAGAAAGGAAAACAGCATTGCCAATATCTTGATTAATTTAGCCCTTTGAGAACAGTTATCAGTCTATGATCCACAGAACTATAAAATAATATATTTGTGTTGTTTTAAGCCACATGTGGTAACTTCCTATGTCAGCAATAGAAAACTTACATGCCCAGTACCACCAATATTAACAGCTATCATTTACCACACACCTGGAGCTGTGGTATGTGTTTTGCATACGTTTTCTCAAATCCCAACCACAATGCTGCAAGGCAGAATTATCCACATTTTATAGGTGAGGAAATGAGGTACAGAGAGTTTAAGTGACTTGTTCAAGGCCACACAGCTATTGCATGGCAAAGCTGGGACTGAATCCCAGTTTAGTCTTTCTAGGTCTTTTGCCTTTTTCCTGCACAAGCCAGATACTCTCAACTTAGAAACATCATGCCTGCCCCTACTATTGAGACTCATGGAGACTTCATTATTTGATTTAAATTAACTTATTCCAGCAAGCAAACATCTTTAAACTTTTTAATGCATACACAACCCCAAAACACCAAAAAACCTTCTGGATATTGAAGCATTGATTTCCCTCCATTATTGTAAATTATCAACAGTTAAGTGTCTTAAATAAACTCTGAATTTAGGAATGAAAAAGCATAATACATAAGTTCTAACCTTGCATACTTCCAAAGAGAAAAGCAAGCAATTTTAACAACGTACTTGAAATAAACTACGGCATCCTACTGAGGTTAAGATGTAAGGTTCACCTTTCCTCAAGTTCCTGAGAAAATGCAGTAATTTAATATGTCTTGCCACCTCAATTTTCTCTTTTCTATATTGAGGAAAGGTCTAGTAAACCTCAAGATTCCTCAAAATAGATGTAGTAGTAGCTGTTAGTGATATATCACACATGACAATTCATCAGAGTATGTTTTGTAATAAGTTCTGTATAACAAATCACAAAATGTTCACTCAATGTATGAATAAGTGAATTTCAATATACCACATTAACATGATTGTTACAAATGCCAAGGCAACTTAAGAACTAAAAAATTATGGTTTAAGATCAGACTAATTCCTATGGCAAAGAATGAAAATGCAAAACCTAACCAGGCAATTTTGGATTTATTAAAAGTTAAATTACATCAACCCAATTATAAAACTATAAAGCATAAAATTATCTTAAAAATTATATTTCAAAGTGAAAAAAAGTCTTATTTTCAGGCTTTCCATGCAATACTCAGACACTTACCTCAGAAATACCACAAAACCTAGAGCTATATTATAACCTATGAGTCGATTAATCAGTTCAACATTCTAAAGTACTTTATAGTGGGGTTTTACTACAACTTACGAGAAATGCCCCTGACTCCCCATTTTCAGTTATTTATGATTTGAATCCAGGAAGTTACACTTACCACTCTGAAGCCAACAATATACTAAAGAGTTATAAAGTACAGTAATGTGAATATTTTAACACCATCCATTTCTTCAAATATACTGAGAAGTTATCATTAGGAACAGACTGGTAAATTTAAAAAGAAGATCTCAATACCAACAGAGGAAACAGAGACCATAAGACTGCTGGTTATTACAAGATATCAAGTGCATGGTAGAGAGAGATGAAAAAGAGCTCAAGTTTTAATTGTGATATACTGAGCTTTAAATCAAACTCCTACCTTGTTAGAAGGCTTCATTGCTATTGAAATGACAGGATCAGGAACATGAATTGACTCCTAAAATATTTTTAAAAGAAAACAGAAGAATTCAAAAACAGACCCACATGGGTCAGGGATAGATTAATGTGCCACTTCACAACAGAACAAAGGATAAATACTAGCCATTGTCTTTAGGCTAAACAATATATATCTTGATGTGTTTTGCATTAAATACATATATTAATACAACATATTAATAAATAAATAAAGCTATCTACTTATATAAGTTCCCCCTTCCCAAAATAAAATTAATGAATGTATTTATTTACCTGTTTAACATAATCACAACTAATCCAAATACTGAGATGTGAAATTCTTATTGCTTGGTGGCTGTTGCAATCTTCTAAGTTACTTTATTTAATCAAAATATACTACAATTACTGATAAGGCAAACAGAGAAAGGGCACCACATTCTTCATACCCATGATACCTCATTTGATCAATTACAACTCTGAGAAGCAGGCATTATCCCAATTTTACAAATAAAGTCACTAAAGCCTTGGAAATAAGGTAAAACAAATTGGCTAAGGGCCAGGAGGTAGTATAGGGCAAAGGTGAGACTCTAACCAAGGCCTATTTGTTTCAAAGCCTTGGTAAGCACTTCCCACAACCACCAATCACTTCATGTTGCTAATGAGAAGTACTTAGAGAAGGTCTTATCAATAATACTTAGAAAACATTCCTTTTATCTGGATCTCAAACAAAAATTGTATAGATTTATGCTTTTTTGTAGTGTCCTAAATCAACAGGTAATACTATACACCTTAGAGAATATTATAGACAAAAAAACTAAACTATAAAATCATGAATTCATCATTAGATAGCAGGAAGTATTACAGTGCTAATCTGTTAGAGTTGGGTCAGTACTTATGTAAATGACCCACTGCAAATTACCTATGTACTCATCATACTCTTTCTTTACTGAATTCATGAAAGAGATCACTCTTATGAACAAATGGCCATAATGTAACAGAATTTGCTCTACTACAGAAGCAAAAAAGGTGAGTGAGTGAAGGGAATTCAAAGGCAGGAACTACCTGTGCATGCTCCTCCCTCAGAATCCCTCAATGATAAAAAGGGACTTCTGAGTTCCAAACGGCAGGCTGTTTCTATAAATCAGACTGTGTAGTTGCATATTGCCTTCTGAGCCTGGTTATGTTCTGTTATCCCAAGTCTAGTCTAAATGTTACAGTCTGGTCTCACAAGGGATTGAGGGAACAGTACACTTTCCTGCTACTGA